TCTTAGCGTCTTTTTATTGAAATGTCATGTGGGATTAGGCTTCACGGTCAATACCGTGAAGGTTCAATCTGCAGGATGATGGCTGAACGTCTTTAGGCCAGATTCTATGCTGAACCAGATCCACACGAGGGCGAGACTGTTGCCAACGCCCCCGAATGTATTATACTGTCTCTTGGGTGGAGAGAAAAGGTTATGGGTATAGCCCTTCAAGGGCTTTCGAGTCCGGTTGTGGTTATTACCCTAACCACCGCATGCTCCGAACGTTGTATCTAGGGCGCGTTTATGGGGTATGTGGTATGGCTATGAGGACACCTGTAGGGTCTCTACAGGAAGTAGGAGCCATCAAGGACTATATGTCCTAGTATAATGCATCCGAAGCCGGCCCGAGTGGTATGACCAACGGCTTCAGTCTCATCCCGGTGGATCAAGGGAGTTTTTAGGGGATACCCCACTACCTGGTACCTCTCTTTAGTAGAGCGACTTGGTGTCGAACCGTTTGACCGTATGGACACGGGCACTTTGTCCGTGTTGGCGACGGCTCAAATCTGCTACCAGTAGGAGTGGTAGAGAGAGGAATCCGGACGGTACGGCTCACCACCGTACCTGAAGGGGGAACTGTGGTCACGATTTTCTTCCTGGCCTTTGTGCCGAAAAAAAGAAAAAAAAACTAGCAAATATACTATGTGTGGAATAATTGTACTTGGTGAGTACAATAATAATAGCCAAGTTTGTAAACTTGGTAGAATTGGCAAGGAAATAAGACCTTGTTGAGCTTGACTTGGTAAAAAGACATAAGGGGTACAGATAAGTGGGAGCTTCGGCGCCAATGAGAAACCACTCCTCTTATTGTCTTTTCAGTGAAGAGGCGTGTTAGATTAGGCTTCACGGTCAATACCGTGAAGGTTCAATCTGCAGGATGATGGCTGAACGCCTTTAGGCCAGATTCTATGCTGAACCAGATCCACACGAGGGCGAGGCTGTTGCCAACGCCCCCGAATGTATTATACTGTCTCTTGGGTGGAGAGACAAGGTTATGGATATAGCTCTTCCAGGGCTTTCGAGTCCGGTCGTGGTTATTACCCTAACCACCGCATGCTCCGAACGTTGTATCTAGGGCGCGTTTATGGGGTATGTGGTATGGCTATGAGGACACCTGTAGGGTCTCTACAGGAAGTAGGAGCCATCAAGGACTATATGTCCTAGTATAATGCATCCGAAGCCGGCCCGAGTGGTATGACCAACGGCTTCAGTCTCATCCCGGTGGATCAAGGGAGTTTTTAGGGGATACCCCACTACCTGGTACCTCTCTTTAGTAGAGCGACTTGGTGTCGAACCGTTTGACCGTATGGACACGGGCACTTTGTCCGTGTTGGCGACGGCTCAAATCTGCTACCAGTAGGAGCGGTAGAGAGAGGAATCCGGACGGTACGGCTCACCACCGTACCTGAAGGGGGAACTGTGGTCACGATTTTCTTCCTGGCCTTTGTGCCGAAAAAAAGAAAAAAACTAGCAAATATACTATGTGTGGAATAATTGTACTTGGTGAGTACAATAATAATAGCCAAGTTTGTAAACTTGGTAGAATTGGCAAGGAAATAAGACCTTGTTGAGCTTGACTTGGTAAAAAGACATAAGGGGTACAGATAAGTGGGAGCTTCGGCGCCAATGAGAAACCACTGCTCTTATTGCTCTTTAACCATAGTATGGGATTAGGCTTTACAGTAAATGCTGTGAAGCCCCCATTGGTTGGGAAATGGCTAAACAACCATAAGCCAGAGCTGATGCTGGAAACCATACTATATGTGTTGCTCATACACTATATGAGTATAAATATGCTTTTGAGCTGAAAAGCATATTGTGTCTTTGTTCGTATCCGCTGAAAGGCGAGTACCTTCAGAGCTACATAGTAATGCTAGTATGGAGTATTGATATATTACATGCAAGCAGCGTGTAACTGACGGGGTATTGTAAGTGTTCGAGTGACTTTTGTTGCTACGAAGTACTGAGATTAAGCCCTTGTCCTTGAATTTGTTCTTTTGAACACCTTCATAATTAAAATAAATTATTTTTGTATTGAAATAATTTACTTAAGTAAATATTATCACCTGCCATCTGACAGCCGACCCAATAAAAAATTATAATATTGCAAAGTCAGAAAGTGAGTCTATATATTTTATTAACTTAGCTGTAGAAGTATGTGTATATTGATCATATTAAAATTTTTTTAGGTCAATAAATTCAAGAGTATCCTTTCTCCATTTTTTTAAAGGTACTTAATTTGAGACCGGGTCTGAAATCCGAGTTTGTTTGTTCATTGATTTCTTATAATAACACATTTGATTAGATTAATTTCTTAGTCGTCAAAGCTGTTATATGTTATAGACAAACTAACAAACTTGGTATATTCATTTTTTGTTAGCCTTTGTCTTTTAACTAGATACCTTGATTTCAATTTGTATAAGATCAAGCAGTAGCATTATTTACAGCCAAACAAAAACAACTCTTCTTTTAGGAATTATATATATAAACATATACAATTTAATCACAATTAAACAAAAAACAATGCCCAAAGAATTTTAACATATATATATATATATATATAATGTAGTAATCATTACGTTTATTTTTCTATTTATTTATTTTTGTTTGTTCATTCATTCATTACGCACATAAATATTATATAAAGCAATAAGTGGGAAGCGAAATAAATATGAGAGGGTATATATCTATATTTATTTACCAAAGCTAAAATTTAAGAAAAAAATGATGCAAAGAGTTATTGGAAACAAATTGATTTGATGTGTTGGACAGTAGAGCCATTAAGCATATGGAGTTTATAAAGATAAAAAAAAAACAGCATGCGATGGAACTGTGGGCAAAGGCAATAAAGTAAATAAATGAAACTTTTCCATAATGTGTATTGTAATATAATACACAAAGCCTTTGAATGTATTAATCAATTGAATACAAATTTCAAAAGTTTTATTTTAAGCAGACATATTAAAGAATATGGTTTTTTGGGAAAATTTAATTTTTACAAGATTTGTTTGAGATATTCAGAATTTTTTATGGATTAGTATCTCAATATAGAGAAAATTGGATACTGCGGAGAGTGTTATCTATTAAAGAGACAATATAATATTGTTTATATCTGTTACTATTGAAATCCCTATAATCCAAACCCTTGTTGTGTAATGGTTGGCTCACACTGTATGTCTGTGTAGTGTACGTGTGCCTGGTGTGTAACAGTTCCGGAGATTGTTAACTTGCCAGGTTCATTAGCAAGAAGGAACCAGTGTTTGGTTGTGGGGTCTGCTCTTTACTAAATTGTGGTGTGTAAACCACAGCTCAAAACGCTCTCAAAATATGTTTAAAGAAAAGGATAAAATGAACTGTTGGATGAAGTGAACTTTTCTTTAGCTAAAGTCGAAGTGTTTGGCTTTGGATAAATTAAAATGTAACTCACTGCTGAAGATGCTCTAACACTGCCTGAAGTTGTCTTTTCTTCACGAATAATTTTCTTCGCTTTTTTTAAAATAAAATAAAATAATAAGTATTTAATTACCACACTGTTATCAGCTTCTAGTGAACATAATTTGTGGAAGTCTTGCTGTTTATTGCTATAGACTTTTATCTGCTGTAACTGTGGTATATACACCACAATTGAGTGAAGAACAGACTCCACAACCAAACACTGGTTGCTAGTAAATTCCAATTTTGGTCACCGATGCCAATTCTGAAATTACCCCCTTTCTGGTTTTGTGATCGTCCACAAGCACCAACGTCATCAATAATTTCCCAATCCAATAGTCGCATAACAACGCGCCATGCCAAATGAGAGGCAGCTGGGTTGTACCATGTGTCTTTTAGAGCATTACCATTTATATTGTATAGGCAGTCAACGTGAACCAAGGATGCGAGTGGTTTGCCTTCCATGCTTTTGAGCCGATACGTAACATACTTGTCCTTTTTTGTTCATCACAATAAACGCGCCTTTCAATCGTGGTTCCAAACCAGAATGTCCTTCGTGTGTGAGATTAACACGATCACCAACCTCGAATGTCGCTTTCTTAATCACGGCATCCCATTTTCCCTTGCATTTTGAACTCATGTCACTCATGCGTAACTCGGCAGCTTTTCTGGCCCTACCGACATTCTCCAGTTGGTCAACGGTCTGGTCTGCCACTACACAAGGGTCTTCAGGAAGGACAGAATGGCGGCCATAGGTAAGAAAAAACAGACTATACCCAATTGTGGGATGAGTGAAGATGTGGCAGGTCCAGAGCATCATTTGTATACTTAGGCAGCATTTGTTTCAACGTACCGTTTAGGCACTTAAATTTACCATTTGTGCGTGGGTGAATGCAAAGGTTGGTCGATGATTTGACTTGGTACGAATGAGATAAGCGTCCATACGTTTTCTGGTAAAATTGGCTCCACGATCTCTCAGTATCTCGGCTGGGCACCCAAAACGCATTACTATTTCCTCGTATATAAAAGCTGCTACAATTTGGGCTGATGCGACTGGGACAACACAGGCAATCGTCCAGCTGGTAGTATAATCAACTGCTACAAGGATCCACTGATTTCATTCAAGAGTCCTATATAACCTGCCGATGAAGTCCAAGTTCCACCTTTGAACTGCTCCATGGATTTTCAATGGGTGAATATTGTCATGATGCTTACCATGTTTTCTTGTATTGTGCTAACATTTATGACATGCGCTTAAAAATTCCTAGATGTCGTTACAGAGACTCGGCTGTCAATGACGAGGTCTTAGTATATCAAACATAGGAGAAAGTACAGAATGGTAAAAATCCTTGTGGTACAATCGGAAAGTATTGGAACGGCGAGAAAAGAAAAGGAATAGTACTTCACGAATGTCATCGTCACTCAACTTCACTGTTCGATACACTTTGTTATTCTTAATTACAAAGTGAGCTATGTTATTTTCTGCGAT